TCCGAGGCAAAGGATAAACATCCTTTCGTGTTATTTTGTTTAGGCGACGATAATCTATGCAAAAGTGTATTGTGCGATCCTTTTTAACTAAAACAACCGGCGACGCCCAAGAACTGTTTGATAGTTTAACGACGACGCGCTTTCGCATGTCACCTACTTGTTCATCGATGACATGGCATTCAGTCGGTGAAACACGGTACGGTTGCTGCCGTAGTGGTGAATGATTACCTGTGGCGATCTGGTGGCTTACAGTAGATGTTCCTCCTAAGGTAGCACTGTGACTGTCAAAAGATGGCCGAAACTTGTCAAGGAGGCTCAAAAGCTCACACCTCTGTTGTGAGTTTAGGTCTTTGTCGATTACACGGTTGAAAATGACGACAGTGGAAGGGTCATTCCCGGAACTACAAGAAAGGGCCCCGACTTCTGATGATCCATCAGGAATGTCAAGTGTAGCAATGGTTTCGAATGATTCGATTGAACCGATACATTCGCGCCGAAGCGGCGTAATCAGGAATGGGAACGGATTCAGAGCCGGTACGTCGGTCGCACCATCTTGAAGAATAACGAGAGCGGTTGGGAGCGGGGATAGGTGGCGATGAACGAAAGCAGCGGAAGGTGTGACGGCAGAACATGACACAGGTGCGAAGACAGTATCGCGCGGAGGGATCTGAGTGTCATCACTAATGACCAACTTCGCGTAGGAAGGGCGATCATCCGCAGGCAGAGCATCACCAAGAGGACAAAAGACAACTTCGGCACGGACACAATCAATGACGGCTTGGTGATGGGAGAGAAAATCCCAGCCTAAAATGATGTCGTGAGAACAGTGCGGAAGTACTGCGAACTGCACTGTGTAAGGCACTCCTTCAATTGAAAGTCTGGCGGTACACTCCCCCACAGGCTCACAGGCTGTGCAGCAGTAGTGTGAAGAAATGAACCCAAGTAAGGCGTCGTCACTTTTCGAATTGCACGGCAAACTTTTTCGGAAATGACAGAAATGGTGGCACCAGTATTAATAAGGGCAAGTACAGGTACACCTTCAAGAATGGCATTAATCACATTCAGCGGCGAACGAAGAGGGCTTGTGCTTTGCGACGACGACGCAGTTGTTGCCTTGGGAACTGCATCATTTAGTTTCACGCGTCGCTTGTAGGGGAACGTCGGCGCATCAGGGAGGGTAAGCGACGACATGGAGAAGGAGATCGGTGATCAGAAGGTGGTCGTTGGCTTGGTCGAGGAGGGTGCAATTTGGGTGTCTGGAGTGTATGGAATTGTGTGGTCGTACTCATATGAACGCGGGTTTTCACGTGAATGGAGCGGGCGACGGCGGCAAGGACGTGCGACGTGTCCGGGTAGACCACACGAAAAGCAGATCGGTCTTTTGTCGGCAGTGCCCCGTGGGTTAGGGACTCAATGGACTAGAGGTCGTGGCGGCTGCGTGGTATAAACACGAGCAGGCAGTGGAGGCGGCGCTCGGAACGTGTGTGGTCGTGGTCGTGCTGCTGCTTCAGCATACGTAAATGGCGCATTCACTGGTGGCACCAGCTGTGGAGGAAGGGCCTGAGACACTTGGTGTTGTATAATAGTCCGCAGTGTAGGGCTAAGCAGTGCACTGCTTATTGTTAAACGCCGACCTTGCTTCCGCGCCCCTCTAGTTACCGCTCTCCCCGACCGCTTTTTGTTACGTACTCCTCTGTCCTTTATCCCCCTGCTACTCTGAGCACCCCGCATCACCTGATGAGGCCCGTGTTTTCACACTGCCTCCGATCTTTCGAAGATTGGTCGGCCATCTACCCTCTTTTTGATCACTAGTACTGTCGTTGGCGTCGCCGGCCTGGAGTGACCAGCCCATTTGCCAACAATGTCGGCCACCGATTGTATCCGATAGTCTGCATCTAGTGCACTTTCGTACGCTACCCCACCGACTCTGATAATTTGCGATTCGTTTCTTGTTTAGGACTTGTTCTCGCTCACTTCACACTTGGCTCAGCATGCCTTCCGCGCGTGTGCGGAAGCGCGAGAACGGCTGTTAATTTGTTCAGAACGAATCTCGAAATATCGAACTTCATGAGGCCTTGCAAACCCGCCAGCGCAATGAAACGATTCTTCGAACACTGCCAGCGCACCGATTCAGGCGGCCATGCACTCTTTCTAAGTTTTTCTACCTGCGAGTTTCGTGGACCTTTCAAGCAAGCTACCCAACCTGCCTCCTTCCCGTGTGTTTTGGTTTTCAAGGTGGCCTTCCCGCCGCATCCTCCCCTTTCTTTATCGCAATTCCTCGCCCTTCTCTCGCAAGTCTGCTCACCTCTCTTGATCACAACCCCTTCGACCGTCTCCGCCGCTCCGCAACGCCCGTTTCGTTTTCTGACTGGAAACGGGCCTAGAGCTGTTCCACGCACTCTGGCATGTGTGTCGCGTGTGCGCGTCTTGCTCGCTCTTGGTGTGCGTGTGTGGTCATGATGGCTCATGAGAGGACTAGCACGGTTTTTCGTGCCGCTCAACAAAACATCGGAAGTGTGACTGCTTGGCTTGAGCGTAATCAGCGTGTTAGGTGCCGCATTGCGGAGCGCTTGCTCATGGCTGTTGACCACCTGGTAGCCAACTTGCGCCACTTCGGGAATCCCTGTATTGCGCTGTGGAGATGGTGAATATTTCGTGGGCGGCGGTGACGACTACATGTGCGCGAAACTGTTTTTCGCGAGGCCGACTTCGTCGAAGTTGGGCCCGATGCCGAGCCTGAAGCTTCCAAACGGCAGCAGCGATTTGTGGCCGCGCGTCGACTCTGACTTGGGAGAGTGGGTGGGAGATCTGTTGTGATCGTTTCATTATGGCTGATGATGATGCCGACACTGCAGAACTGTGCACAAATTAGTGCATTGTGAATGAAATACATGGCGAGAGCGATTTGGAGGAATCTGATTGCGCGAACGACGAAACTTTGGAGCCAATGCCTCATGCAGCTTATGCACGGGCCTCGGCGAACGAGCACCCTGCCGTTTTAAATCAACTCGAGACCGCCTTTATCGCTTCTGTTCTTCGAAACACGTGCATCGCGGACTTTTTGGGGCAAAAAAGTTTGTGGTTTCACTCACAACTTTTTTTAAAAGCTGTATTTCATTTACTATGAACTTCGAGATACAGCGAACGGATGCCGCATCGTGCTCAGGTTCGTTATGAAGGAGCTTGGCTGTATGTATTTTTTTGTTGTTGTTGTTAAATGCAAACGTGCTGCGTTGCCCTTGTTCTGACTCGCCACCACAAGGTTTTGTTTTTTACAAAAACTAACTCCGCCAAAGCGACTTTCTGGGCAGCGTCGCTGACAACGTCTTTGTTTTGTTTTTGTTTTTTTCGACTCTAAAATTGCTCACAGCCTCTCTGACTCGTCAAACACCACTATTGAGACAGTAGATAGGAATTTCAGTATCTTTTGATGTTGGTTGGCTTTCTGTGAACGAAGGATTTATGCTATCGTAGCAGTTCTTTCTTGAGAACAACGGAGAAGGGATCTAGCTTATAATATATGACAATTATCTGTACAAGCATTTCATTATAATTTTGAAACACAAGTTAATAAAAGGCCACTTCTGTCTTCAATACGCGAACTCAGCCTAAGATTCTGCTGCATCAGTGCAGCCGATAAAGTAAAATGTGAAGTATGTCATCTTTGATTCTATGTCTCCCTATATTTTAAGCATCTAATCTCAAATAAAGAGGCCCCTTAAAAAATTTTTTCTATAATGTAAGACATCTCTATCAGGCTGAACAAGCAGAGCAGTAGCAGCAGCAGTAGCAACAACAAAAGTGGACGATGTCACAATTCTTATCAGAATAACCACTTTAAAACAAAACTAAATATTGCTTCATAGAGATGGTAGCGCTCCATCATCTGCTTGACTATCATCTCCCAAACACCATTCTTTAGGTTAGTTTTCCTATAGTCATCCGAAGAGATGTCCTAGAAGCGAGGATATTCTTCCACGAGAGAAAAAAAAAAAGTTGCTTCATCGTTCATTTTTGACATTATAGTGCACGCAAGTCCGGAGCGTAATTTAGAACAGCTGCCGCCGCCGTGTTCTGCAGGCACTGCAAGAGAGAGAGCTACAATGTGGTCAGAGACCCACCCGAAATTCCGCTACGTCCCTCACTGCACGGGAATCGTTTGACGGGTTGGAGAAACGATCTCTGCCTCCCCCGAGGAGCCGCGAAAAGGTCGTGTTCACACACTAGCCCGTGATGTCTTTGTCACGTGATGCACCATCCTCACCTCTCCTCCAGGGATTTCTCCCTCGTGTAAATCCCTATTCACAGCCAGTTACAAGCGGACTAATATACACCTATTTGTTCATTGTGAATACTTCGAAAATATTTGATAACTTAAATTCGAATTGAAGTGAATCGAATACGACTATTCGTTGAAATATTCGCACAAGTCTAATCATTTTGATTGGTACATCATTTATTTGCAGAGAAAAAAATGATCACCACTATGACCACACATTTTTTTCACAATTGGCAGGAGGTGAGCACCTTGCGGGTCATTGCATGAAATATTCATGTCAGCCACACTGCAATAAAGTAGGAGTGCTGCGCAGCTTTGCAATGCAAGGGGAGAGAAACTTGATGAAGCTCTCATCATCAAAAAAGAAGCTGAAGCATGTGTTAGCAGCCCCTCGCTGGCTCTCTCTGACAGAGAGCTTGATTATTTAAGTAGATATTGATACCACGGAAGTTTCAATCTACTTTTTTGTTTAATGGGACTACGCAAACGGTCACCAGCTTGTGTGTGTATACGGTTGGATGTATTATGTAACGAAGTTTACTTGAAGTGTAGTGTGCTCCTTTTGTGCTAGTAATCATAGCCTACTATTTTTGATACCTACTAGGTTGCCTTCAGTTAATCTTGTGTAGGTCACTAGGGAAATGAAGACTTCAAAATTTTCGTTTAACAACAACTCCGTTTAACAACAATTCAACATGGTCAAGTTTATTGCCTTTTACAGATCCTCGATGGTGTGTGCCTGCAAAATCTGGAGGTGGTGCGAAATTCATCTCGTGGCACGGAGGGAACACTGCTGGCAACGATGGACTTCTGCTGCACCCCATTTGGTGTGTTGTTCATTCATGTCTCATCCTGTTTCTACCATCAAATAAGTTGTTGCTCGACATTTCATTGCAGTGAGCTTCTTATACTTAATCCCGAGCCAGTCACCGGCAGCATGCTGATGCCTCTGCTGATAAACAGGCACATCGCATCACATCATTATCACGTGATCCGAAAGTCCGAAGCCATTTTCATGCGTTTACTCTGGTGTCTGCCAATCTAATTGCTCCATCTATGGCTGCGACTTTAACTGGCAACAGCACAGACCCTATCCTGGTCCCAACTGTGCTGAAAGGGGCACGTCGTATGTACGGCTGATGGTTAGCTAATGTTCCAGCCGCACCGTGCACAATTAACGTCCCCTTGAGTCATCGCAGCTACGCGGGTTCGGCCGAATAAAGCAACAGGCTAGGTCAACAAAACAACACTTTATTGCTACGTTAGCAATAAGACATAAATGTCGCGTAGAGAGACTTTCGCTCTAGGCAGATAACAAAGGGTAGACGCTTTCGTCTTAGTCGTTGACGGCCTTGGCTTGCGGACAGTTCCGAGGGTTGTCCTTTCTGCTTGGTCCCGGTTGCCAGAGAGAGTGTGTCCAGCCGCCTGCACGCTCGTTTTCTCCACCGTCCCGGTTTCCCACTCTGAGAGTTTGTTCCTTCGCTGAGTTAGGGGAAACCCGTTCCGTGAGCTGGGAAAAGGGACTCGTGTGCACTGCCCACGGGATGTCCCATCTTTTCGCAAGACGCTTCATTGACTGATTTGTGGAAGGGACAGACATGTCCTCGCAGCTAGGCTGCCTCTTTCTCTTTCTGCTTCTCTTTCTGTAAAAAGAAAGGGTGGCTGGGCACACGTGTCGTCTCACAGAAAATAACTACCGTATCTTAGTTGTATTACATGCACTACTATTTCGTATAGGTAAGCTTTCTGCTGCTTATCTTGCTGGTGAGCACCACACGTTTCCAAGATCTTTAGAAATGCGCATTCACTCAACACAGTTCGCAACGCAGGCATCCCAGTCAATTGAGTGCTTAAACAGGGTGGCACAAGATGTGAGAACTGCAAGACCAAAATTGTCAACCATGCTTAGATGAGTAAAAATGACTTGACTGGGGAATAATCTGTCATGTTTGAGTAGTATAAAAAATGTTTTTTGCGGCCACAGAAAATGATTGATGCTAAAATGTAAGGTGGAAATATCATGTGTTGGCAAACAAATGGAACTTACTCAGACTCGCTGAAGAAATATATCTCGACCATTTGGACTATCTCAGACTCGGTCTCATTAAAATTTTCCTGAGCTTGACTCACATTCACAGAACTTTAACCAGATTCATTTGAACTCAAACTCGCCGAAATATTACTCACCCATTGTTAGACTCGCAGCTCGATTTGAGTTTGAGTGAGTACCCCTGGGTCAACTCATAAGTCTGTTAGCCTAGAATTAGGTTTCTCGACCACGTCTTGGATGGTTTTTAACATAAATATTTCACGTAATTGGTGCTCTCCTTGGCACCTTTTGATATGGCACGTTTGAATCCGAGTTATGAGTGGTTGCTGACCGTCACGAATCTCGGGGATGAGAGGCAGTGGCGATAGACTGAGAGAACGCTGGGCGGCAAAGCAAACATGATTTAATAATAACCCAAGAAAAGAAAAACTGAAAGAAAAGCTGAACACCCAGTGAACAAACAACACCCAGTGAGAAAACCTAGAAACTATGCAAACAAATCTTCAAAAGTAAATTTACACAAACAATGATCACTTCTTGGTACATCTAGCTACAGCCCTCAGCTTGAGTCTGGCCATTTAGGCCTCACAGTTGAATCTCAGTCCGAATAGGACACTCATAGTTTGTTCCATTCATCGTCGTCAATCCAACATTCGTTGCGTTAGGTCCACAGTTGAGGTAGCCTACAATGCTATCTAATCATTGCTCTGGCAGCATGAGTCAGTCATGCTGCCATAGGTCTAGTCCCGGTCATCATCGGTGACGTGGCAGTGCATCCTCGTGAGTTAGACCTAGCATGATTCTAGCCTCCCACTCACTGTGATGACGTTCTGGAGATATCTGTTGGTCAACTGCTGCTACTGCTTCTTGGACAGCGGAAAGATGCTGCAGCACCTTTGAGGATCCGCGCCCGAGTATCATCAAAGTCAACGACTATGGCTTGAGCTCCGGAACTGAACATCGTCATTGTCTTCCTCAATACGCCACCTTCTTACTCGTGACACATAACAGTAAGGACATTTTTTCTTGAAACAGATGGCAACATGAAATATGTTTATCAACAACTTTTATGGAAGAGTTCGGGGGAGGGGGCATCAAGGTGGTCCCTATGTAATTCATGCCTCTGAGAAATAATAAATGGTTCATTAATGACTCTGCATTGACACGGCTGCTGGATAAAAAACAAGGTACAACCTGTTGAGTGCCACTGGAGCGGCAAGACGGGCCTAGTTCAACTCTCGCCCGCTCTGGCACTGCCACTCCTCCCAGGAGAAATGCTTTCACGCGCATTTCTACGGGGGACAATAGGCCGTAAATAAAGCGTTTCGTAGCTGCACATCATGGATTCAATTCTGAATCGTTATTATCAGCACCTATTACACCACATATGTGAACAGTTTGCCTTAGAAGGGCCAATCCTTCGTAGAGTATAGGCCTCAATACTCTCCATGAATGCTGCCCGTTTCACTCACCTGAAATGAAACGGGTCACTGATTCTGTTCATGTGGAAGCAATCGCCGGGCAGATTCTAAGGACTGAAGTATCGGCCCACCGAAACGCACCGCAAAAGCACACATAATTTAAGTGTTTAGAGGTTCTTTTTGCGCATTAACAAGGCCAGTTATGGTCCTAAAAACTGAATTAGAAAGCAAAAGTTTACGACACAAACAAAATATGTATTCTCGGCAAAGGCATGACTCAAACTTGCACACTCGGCAGCTACTAAGTAGAACTCACAAAATCACTTAGAATGTATTTAAAACAATGGGGACAAGCTTACCGCACTACAAATACAATCTCACACATCGAAACTGCGCAAGAACACTTAGTGGCCCCAAATTCACTAGACGTGTGTACTCCATGATTTTTCGAACGTGTCTCACAAATTTCTCTGTAGGGAAACAATAAAAGGAACTCCAGCTCTGTTCGTCATCCCGGCAACACTCTTCAACAAAATACTCTGGCGGTGACATAACTCGATTTTTTAACATCTTCTGACTGCACTGCACGACTCACTCACACCGCTCAAACATCACAACTTCTTGGCCGATGTTCATCGCCCGTCCTACCCTCTGACACCTCTAGTTTGAATCTTTCCTAGTATTCGAACATTCCAAGTAATTGTACTGCGCGTAGCACGTACCACGGCGGCAGTCAGGAAAAAGGGTTTCGTCTGGCTGGTTCCTTTGCAAATACGGTTGCCCTCAAAAGAGGTCCGGCTTCGAAGTCTAGATTTTTTCTTATCTGCGCTAGCTGGCTGTCACATGTGCAGACGGTAATGGCACGCCCTGGGTGCCTTTTGATGCTTGCTTTCTTGTTTTGTTGCGTGCGCCCGTGAAGAGAATGTTTGCAAAGGGATTTGACGCTGTCGTGTGGAGGCGGCGGCGCATCTGCTTCAGCGCTTGTTTGTGACAAAAATACGTGCTCTGTTTTGAATAATACGCATCTTGATATGCTTCTCAAAACTGTAGATCGCATGGGGATATGTTGTGCTTCACTGTCGCGTGTTCTTTCGCGTTCGAGCTTCCCAGTGGCACACAACAGCTTCTTGGAGTCGCATCACTAAAAAACCATCTGCCACACAGGAGCACACCAAAGAATCGTACTCGATCACAGGAGATATGAGGTCAACTGCCCCCCACACAGGATTACACACACAAAAAGCAGCAGAAAGCGCATGGAGACGCACAAATTCTCACTCAACCATACTGAAACATGAAGTGCCTTCTGCTTTGATGGGTGGAGTGTCAGCGCCTTTCCCATTAATGTGGCTGAAACTGTCAACTCTGCCCAGACGCATTCGCTTATTAACGGTGACGCCATGTAACAGGCATGGGTGAGAGAGCTGCGCAAATTGCGCATTTTTGATACATTTACGTTTTCTTGTGCCAAGCTGCTCCAAAAGCATAAAAATCGTGAAAATTGTGCCGGACTGCTGCAGAACAGCCCCGAAAGCTTAAAACACTCAAGACACTTAAAATGACACTTAAAAAAGACACCTAAATTGACGACACGCTGTGATGGAAGCTGCTTTGCTGCTATGTTTTTCACCTATCCGCTGGTGAAGCACTAGTTGTGGTCGTCCAGCGACTTGTAGGCCTTCATTTGTTGCAGCGTCACATGGCGTTTTGAGAGCACCAAATAGTTCACAATTTCGCCGTGTGTCACAGAAGGCAGCAGATCGACGTTCGGCATAGCACTCATGCTGATGTGCAGTTTGTATAGGTCGATGCCATCGCACATATTACTTTTTGCTTCGTAACGTACACGAGTTGCTCCCACAAGCTCCTCAATATACGACGAGCAAAGCGCATGCACTCTTTTCGTATCGCACGAATCATGCTGACAAGCTCATGTGACAGTAAGCTGCACATGCAGCCTGACTGGCCTGACTCAATGTACAAACATGGCTGTCTCTCACTTTGCCAGCTGAAAATGACATCAAGTGCAACCCATGTATATGTGCAGAGAGCATTCACAGTAACTCATGCAGTGGAAGTAACAAGTCCTGTTGACGCAGTCGACACAGGATGGCGGCATCACCGACAGCCAATTTTAGCGTTTAATGAGGCATACAAGGCCATAATAATGCACCAAAAGGTGCACATCATTTATAGTTGATACATTCGAACCGCTGTGGTTGTTTCCGTAAGTGGTTAGATGTTCCAATCATATTTTAGAAGTGTGCCTTGTAGACGTATCTCACATACGTCGACATCTAGTTCTCACAAGGAGTTCATCAGCACAGCACTGAGAAGCTGGCAGCGTCATCAAAAAGAAGACATTCCTCTCAAATTGTCAGCATCAAAGAGTTTAAGTGGTACCTTTGAGAGCCCACTTGCAGCAAGGACCAAGACCTTCTAGCATTGTGGAAAGAAACAGGCAAGCAGCACTTCCCAGAATAGTGCAAGATGGCCTTGAAATACATGGGCATTGCCGCAACAAGAGTACCTAGTGAAAAGTTGTTTTCGGCGGCTGGTAACATTGTCATGGCCCGGAAAAAGAATTTGACCTCAGATCAAGTACAACAGCTGCTTTTTTTTTGCATGAGAATTTGTAAACATTCGCACTTTTTTTTAATAAAACATGTCATTCAATATTTTATTTGATATTCAGCTTTTTTTTTTTTTCTTATTTGATTCGGTATTCAATTCGAGACCTACTATTCGGTATTTGTACACCCCTTACCAAACAGGCGTCCCTTATAGTTCCCTGTCACGCTGAAATGAATTCGCTGTGGTGGATAAATCACAGGTAGTAAATAAAAAGATGAAGCGGGTGTTCATCGTTGCACACACAATTTCACAATTTATATATGACCAACTCTCAATATACACAGATAAAATAACAAAAACAGTCTACATAGTCCGCAGTTTGCTTGGAGGAGGAATAAAATTCAGTGCGCACAAATCGCCACTACCACTGGCTGGAAGTCAGGGGCCACTTAAAATTTTTGCACCACTAGCTTCTCGCATTGTTATTCTTTCTTTTTTGCCATTGTTTATTATTTTTTTATTTTTACCCTTCATGCAGCACCACATGACATTGCCCTTTTTCCTCCTTCTCACCTCGGATCTTCCAATTAAAGCTACCTCAAAGCAAGGGTCGCTTCCCAATATGTAACAAATGCAACACAAGGTGTGACAGCCATCAATTCCCGTGTCCGAAAATGTGATTGCAACATCGTCTTTTCGGTTTCATTGAAACCGTTATACTAGTTTAGGTTTCATCAAGACTGCGATCTCTCAAGAAGCAGCTATGAACTTCAACTCCGAGGGTGCAGTCGCGACTTCTGATGTCTGTGCTATTTTGGCAAGGATCGGCGGGAATGGCTCATAAACCTTTCTTTGTCCTGCACTCTCAATGCGGAGAGTGTGCGAAAACAGCATGTGCAGCACTTTGTAAAGTTACGCGATAGGCGATTCAAAAATGGTAGTGGCCTGCCTTACTTGTATAACTTTAAAATATTTTGCTATATTGCATTCATTGCTTTGCCCTTGTGATAATACAGTGACTTTCAATAACTATACGACAGCATAAAAAATAAGCATAAAAATGGATGACAATAACAGTGCTAATAAAAAGGAACAGCCTAGCAAACACGAGTGCATGGGACTGCTTATAGAATGCATGCACCTATTCTGGTTCATTTTGTCACTGTGCTTTGTTAAATACAAGTATATACCAGACAAGTAGATTGGGCGAGTTGATGTGTTCCATGATAAAAACATGAAACAGCACTTCAACCCAAAAAAGAAGAGGCACACACGACGCTAATGTGTGTCTCTTCTTTCCCATGTTGAAACGCTGTTTTATCTCTTTCTCCATTATATTCTCACGGGGTCATGACGTCGACAAAGAAGCAGAGAGTACGTTGAAGATTAAACTGTTTCTGACTGAACTAACTGACTAAGCCTAACTGACGAGGACACCAGCCAGATCATTGATGGTAGCCCTGAATAGGCTGCCTGCAGCAGCATAACTGCCCGTTGTGCAATGGAGCTATGATTGCAACAAAATTGTCGGCAACTGCGGCCGTGGACACAATCTACCCTTTCTTTATTTCTTCAAATGCAAGGGCATATGCGGGATTCTCAACGAGTCGTCTGTCCGCGTTAGATCAAACAGTGGTCGTGATTTGAGGCTACGTGATGGGTAGCACTGCTTGTGTCGTGTATCCGAGTGCTTCCCCCGGAGATGTAATAGACGTGTTTCCCATTCCAATATCATATTTCTCTCAGATTTGTTCCTTCGCGCTCCTTCTTTGTGGCTCGAAGCAATGCCGCCGCTGCATCACGGCGCTTTTAAAGTCAGCGCATGTAGTAGCTTTACATTCATGCTTCCACGTTATAGTTGCCCGCATAGCACCATGAAGTGCAAGACACTATCGAAAAACAGCGTATGTTCTATAGCGCAAGCTGACTGCAAACATGGTGAATATGAGAAATGCAGGACATCGCCCCACAGATCTGTACACAACTGAAGAAAAAATTACTTTATATGATTTCCGTCGTGGGGCACTACATAATGGTTTGTCTCCCCCAGTATTGCATGTGAAGGCTAAGCAATAGGCGAGAACAGAAAAGGGCTAGAACAGAGAATGGTGAACAGCTAAATTGGGCGCATCTGAATGGCATTGAAAAAACGGAGGCACTGACCCAACACGGGAACTCAAGTAAAAACTTTTGATTTGGGTGACGACTCGACTGTGAAGCCAAAGTGGTGAGACCATAGCGAACGACTTTGCTAGATGTAGCAAGACAATGTGTTCACAAGATTTTTGGAGAATACTGTTCTGTGTAATGGTTTTCCATTGTTAGTGATTCTGTTTTTACTGAGTGTAAAGTTTTTCTTCTAGTTTTTTTTTTGGTTGTTGTTAAATCATGTTTACTGTGCTGCCCAACGTCCTCTCGATCCTTTAATAGCACACACCCCCGAAATCTGTGACAGGCCTTCCAACACGTGTTTTATATTGATGCATATGGGTTTCACCCTCAAAGGCTGTGCAATGCTTATCACAGGCTGTGCAGCAGTGTTTGAGATCATTCTGTTAAGATTGCACACAGGACACAAATAGTTTAGAGTGGCCACAAGCATTAACATTGGAATCTGATATAGCACATTTATAAAAGCCTACGCGCTATACTGCTTGGCAGATTACTCAACGGGTGGCGACTGTTCACGCTGCTGTCAGTTTACAATGGGGATCGCTTGTACTTGACCTTTCAATTTCCAGGCACAGGTTCACCCAAGTGAAAGTCAAGTTTTGAACACTCCGACTGCTGCCTTAGTCAGTGTCACGGCCAAGTGACAATTGCACCAGCAGTTTCTGAGAACACTTCTTGTCTTCTTTCTTTATTTTTGAAACCTTTCTATGTGAGCAGTCATAAGCTTTCAGTTGGCAGCCGTCCTTGTGGGCACGCCAGTCTGTGTACCTTTACTGCTGCTGATGTTTGAAACATATGGGTACATAGAGTATGATATTTACGCACATGTTTTTCTGCGAATGATCTCTTGCCATAAGGATAGCTTAGGGTGAAGCAGTTATTATTTTTTTTTTTTACCTCTGTCGGCAGCGTAGCATTTGCACCATTAGAGGGGTGGTGCTATCAAATTTCGAGTTTATGACAAGCCTCTTGTGAGTTTCCTCTGCAGACTAAGACACTGCACGAACGGTCGAACGCAGCAAACGCTTAGAATATATTTTAATTCACCTCCAAAGTGTACTTGAATGCTCATTCTTCCAACCGAAGCCCACCCCAAGCGCATACAAGGCTGTTGTAGCTCTCTAGGAAGGCCAAGGAAAGTTGCAGTGACGTCACACCAAATCTGTAGTGAGCGTAGGTCTGCGCAGGTTTCCCCTCCAAGGGGAACAAAGGTTCATCACTGACTTTGCACCCCCTCCCTAAGTCATGGCGCCCCCTTCCTATTATGTGAATGTGTGGGGCTGTGTTAGCACAACCCCTCTCGTAGGTGACTGTGTCCCCCGTCCTATACACACGCCTATTGTGAGGGGAGTCACCTCAGGAGACCTTAGCCACATACGTACCGACAAAGCATCGCGGCTGCAACAGGTTTGTTTTGCAGGTGCTTTTGCGGCACGTGTGTGCGAGAAAGCCAGTGAAAGTAGACGATAATCCGCCCGACGTGTGTCACAGCCTTGTGTGGCCATGTGGTGAAGCTGCACTGCAACGTCACACTCCAATTTGATGCCAAAAAAAAACATAACCAAAATTTTTCAGATATAATAGACGATAATAACTAATTCAGCGAGAGTAAATCTTGGTGCGTGTGTCATGCTTCTTGGAGTTATAAGGAATGCCTGCAGCAAAAAAGGAGCAGGCAACAAAAACGATGGCACTACCCCTTGAAGTAGTGGAATAGTCAGAATTTCCTGACTTACCCTTTTCAGGCAAACGGCTTTTCCAGCAGTGGTTGTGCTCCCCTCCAAGGCGTGTGGATGTAATTGAGGACCGGCAACGTGCAGTTGATGACCTGCTGCGGTTCCCTCATGAGGTTCAGAAGACACGTGAGCTGCTGTGCTCATTACCCGACCTTGAGAGGCTGCTTGCCAGGTAATCTCATCACTGCATGGTCTTGGTAGTGCTTGTTGCGGGAAGGGATTTGTGCGACTTGCTTTTGCTCGAAACTTTTGAGACCAGCAGGTACTTTATCCTTTTGTATTCAATATATTGTAGCTGCAAAATGATAAATTGCTGAAAACAGCCTGGAGATCTCGTGAAGAAGTTAAGCAAGAGGATGTAATGTCAGACCTCATTTTTTTTAATAAGCATGAAATGAAAGGCTTTTTTGAAGATGCACTGCAATTGCTTTCATCTTCCAGCAGATGAGCCACACAGCTGTCAACGTTAGGCAAAGAAACATTTTCAGTTTGCGAGATAGGGTACAACCACAACACACATAACACAACTGGAAATGACACTGAAAAAGCAACTTTTGCTGAGCTTTAATTATTGCTTTAGCCATAAAAAAAAGAGAGAGAGAGAGAGAGCGAATGCAGCAATTCACTTGTTATCACTACATATGTCTCTGGGAAGAAAGTGGAAATTTAAGAGATCAGTTAACAATCTCGTCTAAAATTCCTAATGGAAAGTAATTGCATACTTCTTCAGTGTGAAGATGCTGTCGTAAAAGCTTTGTGAATAAGTGCTGTAATAAGGAAAGTACAGGTCTTAAAACGACTTGCTTTGGCTGGTTTCAGTTTCTTTCTCGTCCTTTCCACCCCCTTTTTTTTCCAGCGGAGGGGGGCAGGTGTAGCCCTCTGTCACGACCATACCTACTGCATCAATGTAAATAATTTTACAATCATTTTGCGATGGATCCCATCATGTTTGACTCGCATGGCATCGTCACAATTATCGGCAACCTCAAACTAACATCTTCTCACTGTATTGATGGAATTAATAGTAAATTTTTAAAGAATACCAAAGAATACAGTTCCATCATCCTTAAATGCATATTTTCACAATCGTATCATGATGGTGTACTACCTGAAGACTGGAGAACTGCTGCGATTATTCCAGTACATAAAGGCGGGGATAAACATAGTCCATCTAACTATCGTCCTATATCTCTCACATGTGTACCATGCAAAATAATGGAGCATATAATATTTTCTCATCTTGTTAATTTTTTAGAGGATAATATCTTCTTCTTTTCAAATCAGCATGGCTTTCGAAAGATTTTTTTCTTGTCATACTCAACTAATTTCTTTTACTAATGATTTGCATTTTTCTTTGGACTCTGCTTCTTTAACTGACTGTATATTTCTTGACTTTGCTAAAGCGTTTGATAAAGTTAACCATTCCCTGCTTTTATATAAACTAAGTGTTCTAAAAATTGACCCTGCAGTTTTTAACTGGATTAGTGCATTCCTTTCTTCTCGTGTTCAATTTGTCAGCACTAACGATGTGAATTCTTCCACTGCACCGGTTGATTGTGGGGTTCCTCAAGGATCAGTACTTGGCCCCCTGCTATTCCTAATATATATAAATGACTTATCTTCTACTGTTACTTCCAAAATATGTTTGTTCGCTGGCGACTGTGTGATTTACCGTAAAATATCTAATAACAATGATATTCATTCTCTGCAGGCTGATCTTAATAACATACTTCATTGGTGTGATATTTGGAAAATGGATCTAAACATTAAAAAATGCAAGTCTATGAAGGTTTCTCGGTCGAGTACAACTTGTCCAACTTACTTTCTTTACAGTCACCCCCTTGAAACTGTAACATCTTCCTGGTACATCGGCGTCCACATAACTAACACTTTGTCCTGGAAATTACATACAGAACATATAGCGTCTAAAGCTAATAAAACACTGGGTTACCTTCGAAGAAACTTCTTTCTTGCTTCATCGTCAGTAAAATTATTACTATATACCACGTACGTCCGTCCTCAAATGGAATACACTTCATCTGTTTGGGACTCCGGTCAGGTAACATTATCACACATGTTGGAATCTATTCAAAATCGTGCAGCTCGTTTCATTTTGGCTAACTACCATCGTTCAGCTAGTGTCACTCAAACGAAGGCATCTCTAAACCTCATCCCACTAGTTACCTGCTGAAAGCGCACTCGCATTTGCCTGTTTCATAAAATATTTTATCATAATCCGAAACTCCGTTCCCGTTTAATCTAAGCTGCTCCCTTCATTTATTTCTCTTCACCGTAATCACCAACAAAAAGTCACAGTCCCCCATTGCAACACAGTAACATATGCCCAATCATATCTCCCAAGAACACGTAATGAATGGAATTCCCTGCCTGCACCAATAACAAGCATCAATGAATCCATTCAATTTAAGAATGTCCTTAAAACAATTACATAATTACCTCCTGTATCTTTGTTGAACAAAGTATGAAAATAACTTTTAATATAGAAGGTCATCCCTAGTATTGTGTTGCTCTTCATGTTCGATGTGGTGTTTTAAGCACATTTAGAACATTGCAACGTTCTAACATCAATTTTTTTTATTTGTCTGAGGTCTAGTGACCAGAGCGCTGCCTGTGTTTGTTCTTTGAGTTTTTTCTTGAGGGGTAAGGTGAGGAAGGCTGGTCGGCTCAAAGGGCGCAGTCGATGGCGCATGCTATCTCAAGGCATCATGATACCGTGTTCGCAAACTTGCTGGGCTCGCAATGCTTGCTTCGATTTTACTGAAGTTGCAGCGTGATAGCCACTTCGGCAGCTGGACTGGCCATGTTCCCTTTGAACAGAGTTCTGTTGAATTATGCGAGATCCCGTCTAAAAGAGAAGATTTGTTAGTTTCACGCAAGCTTTTAGTAATGGATACAATAGAGTCGATTTCTTATTTATCAAACTCGGATATATTGAATCATTGGCTATATTGAACAGTTCAGAAATCCCCTTGAATTTATTATGCAAAAGTATGGGACCGGTGCATCCATACATCGAAATCCCGCACAGTGGGACATCCACTATATAGAACGCTGCACCGCGCTGCAGCCCAGAAAGTGCATTTTTCCTAGCAAATAGTGATCAATTTTCAGCCGCAATCTAAGAAGTTCCTATTCTTTTGCATAGGCGACAAAAAAAAAAAAAAAAAAAAGGTGTTATTCTATCGCGCTGATCTGGTTCATTGCGTGGCACTTGCGAGTATGTTTGATGCACGATCTACAAGTTTTAGAATGCACGCATAGTGTTTTTCAAAAGACTGATTGCCGAGGGCACCAAAATGAGAATGCAAAGTGACTCAGCGATCTCATTTCAATGTTCGCATTCCCTTCCTTGTTTCATTCATTTCATTTATTGATACTGTCAGTTCTTTGCGGGCTATTACAGTAGTGGAGTTGACTCATATAAATCAGAAATGTGCATAAGAGAAACATAAGAAAAAGAACCTTCACTACTAGAACAAATCATTTCAGAGCACATACAATAAATATATCATAATGGCTAAGCATATAGATTACAAAGAAGTTAGTGAAAAATAAGAAAAGAGAGCATCACTGCCGAAATACACATCATATTTTGCACATAATAAAACACATAATAAATATCATAGCCTAGTTACAAAGCACGTAATTCACACATATTCACAATCTTAGTGCATGGTATCAGAGTGCACTGTATGTTTTATTGCTTCTAAAAAGTCAGTAAGCGAATTAATTTTTACAACCGAATCTGGTAACGAATTCCACTGCTGAATCGCCCTGGGGAAGAAGATGTACCTGAAACAGTCATTATGAACTTTGGGGGGCGGTATGTTCATACTGTGTGTTTTGACGTTTCTTGTGTTTTGATTTCAAAGTACCTGTCGTAGCTTATTTTAACGTGATTATCAACTATCATGAAAAGGAATTTCAGCCTTTCATATTCGGTGCGTTTTTGTAGAGGTAGAAGCTCTGCAAGTTTGCATAATTCGGTAGGTGAATGGAAACGACGATATTTATTAAATATAAACCTAGAACTAAGTCGCTGTATTTTGTCAAGTTTCAAACAGTTAGTTTGGGCATAGGGATCCCACGCTACTTTAGCATATTCGATTATGGGTCTTCGCAAAGTTTATAGTTTTAACTTCGGGAGAGGCACAGTGGAGGTTACGTCTCAGGCCCCATAACAGCTTGTTAGCTTTGGAACAAAGTTCCTCAACAAGAAGATTCCAACGCAAGTCGGGTGTAAATATGAGACCCAGGTATTTATATTGCTTAGCCTGAGCAAGTTCGTGACCGTTAATACTGTACGGATAACTAAGTATATACTTTTTTCTAGAAATGAACATAAAAACAGTTTTTGTTCGGTTGAGCTGCATTTGCCACTGATCGCACCAATTTTTAATTCTCTCTAAGTTAAGATTAAGTTCGGCCTGGTCGCTCGGTGACTGTACATTTTTGTATAGTATGCAATCGTCAGCAAACATTCTTATTTGGGTAGTAATATTTTTTGGCAGATCGTTTATAAACACCTGGAACAAGAGGGGCCCCAAAACATTACCCTGGGGCACCCCAGATACCACAGGCGATAAACCAGATTGGTGGTGCCCTAGTTGGACATATTGTTCTTGGCGTGCAAGATAGGAACTTAACCACCGGGTGAGGACAGAATTTTTAAAGGTACTATCGATTTTAAGTAAGAGCTTATTGTGCGACACCTTATCAAAAGCCTTTGCGAAGTCTAAAAATATTATGTCAGTTTGACCACGGGTATTAACTGTGATAGATAAGTCGTGTACAAGCTCAATAAGCTGAGTAACGGTGGATAACCCTTTCCTAAAACCATGCTGACAGGAAACAATTAAATTATGTTCATCGAGATAGGTTAGCAAGTGCTTTGATACAATGTGCTCTAATATTTTTGAACAGGTGCTTGTAAGCGATATAGGTCGGTAGTTTCTAGCGTGAGATGCGGAACCCCCTTTGTGTATGGGCACGATTTTTGCACGTTTCCAAGCACTGGGAAAAGAGCCACTATTAACGGATGATTGAAAAATTACTGTTAAAAATTTCGATGACCATTCAGCATATCTATAAAGGAATTCATTGGGAATATTGTCAGGACCAGGGCTTTTTTTGGTATTTATATGAAGCAAA